TTACATATCCTATCCGATTTCGTGATCGTGATCAATTATGTGTAATGTGAACATTGCACTATCCTCATTTGCATTTTCAAAACATTGGAACCAAGTAATAAAGGGCATTTTGCATACAGACAAAAAATAATGAAAAGTATGAAATATTTTACGATTTTTTTGGATCTTGGTAATTCCGTTGGACAATCCAGTTTGATTTTGTAACTTTTGAATAATCCTTGATCCAGTTAACTGCAGTTAACTTCGGGTCTAAATTTTGTTCGCAGTTCTACATTTTTCTTTGCGTCTTCTTCACTGCACTTCTTTTATAACTTGACACTGTTTATCAAATATGCTATTTTCCGCTAGCAAATCACGAAATCGGATAGGATATGTAAAAACATTCACTGCTTCCATATCCTATACGAGTTCGTGCAACCAATCACCATCTTGTATAGGGAACGGAAATTTGCTAACGGAACGCTACCCTTTGGTATGTCTTGTCCACTCCGTAGTGTCCTGCAAGGGACGAGTCATGATACAGCTTCAGAACCTCCTCGACCTTTGATCTAGGTACCACTAGTTGAGCTTCGTCACCATCCACATGGTATCGATGTAGGACTCCATTCATAAGGATATATCTTCGATCGGTCCAACGCGTATGGACGATCTCATTCGCTACCTGATATCCTCTGTCAAAGTGATTTCCTCTAATGGGCTGGTTGTATATCCCGTTGCATAAATAAAGATTTCATAATTGTTACATGCTGAGAAAGTTGGGACCAGTATCCATATATCATTGTAACAGACGTTTATCATCCCGATCATAGTGGCCAGAACACCAGCATGATCACAATATGTTTTGAATATCAAGTACTTTGATTTTGTTTTGTTACAAATCAACAGTGTCGATCTGAGCAACTGAATCTTATCAGACGGAGTAAACGTTGTATTAGATTCAGCATCCATTGTAACAAGAGAGATATAAGTAATTTTAACCGCATTCCGTTACCTGTGCGAATGCAGCAATAAACATTTACGTTAAATACGTAACATTACGTACATTACAAAACGTAAGATTTTTATTTAAACTTGAATATTTTATTTCAGAAAATAATGATTGTGTTTTAATATTACAAAAAAATATACTGTTGGTAAATGGAACATAGGTACACAGTTATATTAAATAATTTTCTCGTATCAATACTATCAATGGCCACTGCCATGGCTCAAAGCATTTGTTGTGTTTGAGTGAACATTTGCCGCTAAGGATCTTTTCTTTCTAGGTCTTTTCTTTCTTATTCCTTCAGCATTGGAAGGTCTACCAGCTTGTATAGCTCTTGCCCCCCCATGAAGGCCCCTGTTTCGCCGACGAGCAATCGCAGTTGGCTGCACTTTGATACGCTTAGATTGTTTAATATTTGTCACAGCAGAGCAGATGTTGTAAAATGATTCTTCATTATCAACATTGTCCATTTTATGGTTGAAGTCTACCAGACTCTTTAACATTTGCTTTGAAGAGTGTGTTTCTACATAACTATAAAGCTTGTTCAAATTTTCTTTAAATTTCCCTAATTCTATTTGAAAATCTTCTGTCTCGTTTTCCATTGTCGTGGCGTGATGAACTATACCCAATTCATCAATTTGAAACAACTCACTCTCCCCCCTTATTTGTTTTTGGGAAGCCTGTAAAGTCATGGGTTTTTCAAAGTCAGCCTCTGCATTATTTGTGACAACTACATTTTTATCCATTTCGATGAAAAAGTCTTTATCTACATTAACATTACCCAAAGCCAATGTTGCTATTTCAATTCGATCTTGAAACTGCAAGTCGGGGGTGTTTAATAAGTTTACGCCACTATTGTATACAGCGCACAAATGCTTGCAGAATTGGCCACTTGCTCCAGCAGGACAATTGCTCAATTGCGGTATTTACAGTATACAAAAGCATTTCATCTTTAGAAGAAGTAACTCTATATTCGACGTCAGAAACCTTTGTAACTTTGAGCATTGCAGATTTGTAACAAAATTTTCTAAAGTAGGCCTGCAATTTCACTCCTCTAGAATTTGCAAAATCAATTAGTTTTTGTTTGTGGAACTGTTCCAATGAAAAGCACACAAAGTCAACTAAAGCTGCTGAATTGAATGCTTTGCACCTTTGTAGTACTAAATCCTTAAATATTCGAATAGATACTTCAATGATATTGTTTGTGTTATGACCCCTAGTGTATATACTACTGCGAAAACAGTGACACCATTCGGATCGTCTTTCCCACATGTGATTGAAATATTCCAAAAATTTGTCATATTTGACTGCTACGGAACTGTTACAAAGAGACCGTTTTAAAAGTTCACAATCTATGTCATTTTTGGCATATAAAATTTCACGAAATTGCAACATGAGAGGCTTTCGATCCTCCTTTTCAATACCATTTGAGGTATCCCATAACCATCTCCATACTGCTTGCAGTACGTGAAATGTGCATAGCAATCTTGCTGAATTAGGAAAAACTTTCTTCAGTGCATTCCTTTCCGCATAGCTATCATCGGTCATAAACACCATAGGATATGTCTTTCCATAGAAACCTTCAGGTCCTAAGAGGTGTTTAAACTTTTTAAAACAAAACTCGAAAACATCTTCAGTTTGATAATTGTGAATAATACACCCAACTGGAACACCACCCACTTTGCTGGCTGCAAAGAAAAATGTCACAGAAGAGCCACCTTGATCGCATGATCCACTTGAATCCACAAAAATAATATCACTTGAAAACTGAAGATCATGCGCTCTCAACATTAAAGGAGTTATAATTACACAACAAAAAGGGTTTTCACTAACACTAACTTTAAATCCGTTTGCTTCTAAGACAGGAATTTTCTCTAGCAGTTTTTCAACAACGCTCTTGACCGTGCGATCGCCATAATTTTCCAGTCTACGAATATATATTTTACAGTATGTACAGTGATAAGATAAGAATGATTGCTTTTACCTCCATTTCTCATATATATTGTATATGGTCCGATCAGTAGGATTCACCTGAGCATTTGCAAGAACCTGACATAGGTCTTCTGTTGCTGTGGATGCTAACAGAGAAGCTCTGTGGAAACCCTTTGCCTCACTCGGTGACATGCCATCTTCGAAATATTTGATAAACTTATCTTTAGTTTCTAAAGATATTCGTAAAAAACCATACGCTTCAGCAACATTCACGCGGTGGTTATGGTTAAAATCAATCTGAAAATAGTTATTTAAAGTGCAAGTGGGTTATGTGAGGTAGTATGTGATGTTGAGTGGGTAGTACATAGTACCTCATAACATAACTTACATGTTCAGAATCAAATTTTATCCAGTACCTCTCTAAAATGTATTAAAATTAATCAATTTTAAAAACAGTGAAATAATTTTTAAAATATGTAGGTACACAAATCTTGCGTTCGTTACTGCATTTTTATGGCATTTACCTGAGTATTTTATTTCATTTGTATCTAAAAGCTTTTTTGATAAGGACATTCCAGATGTAACAAAACTAAAGCAATCAACTCCGAAATTCGAATCGGGGATTAATTCCAGGTAAAGATTTTCGTATTACATCCATAGATTAGAGTGTAACACCGCCAGTGAGTTTTTCATTGCAACAAGATAAACAGTCCCTTTGCTTGTTTAAAATCAACATAGTAAAATCGAAATTCATAGGAGGTATTGGATAAATAAGTATGTAAATACAAGTATGATTAAAATGAGCGTAGCCTTGGTGTGCTTGTTATATGAAGAATAATTTTTAGCATTTACTTTAGTAACATTTCGCTTACCAGGATAATTGCATTCAAGTTGTCTTTGAGGTGAGGATCTCTGTAGCGCGTAAATTTATTAATCTTTTTTATTTTGAAGACAATCTTAGCTTTACAATTTTTGTTCCTATCCCTAACACTTTCATTCTTCCTTTTTTTATTCTTGGCATTATGTTGACACACAAAGTCTTTTCGAAATTCGAGTTTTTGAATGTTTGTATAATTTTTTGCTACAATCCACTGTGTGCGAGTGACACTTGAAAAATTCCGCAACCACGTTAGACAGTTGTCATTGTAATTTGGTTCTTGACCGATTTTTGTTCTAACTTCGTAACTATCCACCACATTTTTTACGATTTTATAATTGGAATCAAAACGCTGTAAAGCCTCTTCAATTTCACCCATCATTCTATCACTAACAACTAAAATACAATATCTCAAAACCGTTGCAACAACAATGAGTACTGGATATGCACTAAGTGAATCATAGTTTTCGAAGAACTATTCATCATTCATCGGCAAAACGCGTGCATTTCCTTCTTTCGCAATAACAGCTGTTGTTGCGGTTTTCACATAGGCAACGGAGTACGTTGAAGTTCCTTCGTTGACTATGCGATTAGCGCTACTTCACTTTGACAGACGATATCAGGTAGCGATAAACATATAGTAATTGGAAAGCAGATTCATGCATTACATTTACTACGCGACTACCGCACCCCGTAGCGTTGATAGTATAGCAAACGGAAATATGCATACGGTAGTGTCAGATCTGCAGTTCTAAGAATAGGCGCCGACGTGAGGAGTTGCTGCAGTCTTGTGCGCTTTATCCTGTCCGTCACCCCACGTCCAAACAGCATTTTTCCGTATTAATTCACTGAGGGACCGGGCCACCTGAGCGAAATCTGGCACAAATCTTCGAAACCAACTGCAAGTCTGAAGGAATGACCATAACCTGTTTGACATTGGTAGGCTTTTTCCTGTCTGCAATGGCAGAAATTTTTGAGGGATCTGGGCCATTTCCCTGAGCCGTTATCAAATGTCCAAGGTAACTAACGCTAGCGCGCACGATAACACATTTTCCCCGATTCGCGTTTAGTTTAAAAAGCTTTAGTCTTTCAAAGGTTACACACAGATCTTCCAGATGGTTATCTAAATCTGCGGACAAAACTAAATCAATCATATGATCAAAGAATCTTGTTCATAGAATTGTTTCCATAGATAACTGCAAACAACTTAGTTAATCCCGGTGAATTATATTTAGTAAACCACTATAGGTAATAGATGGTCTAATTCTAATACCCCATATCTGCAAAAAATTCAAATTTGGGTTTTTCGCGCTATTCAGCGGTAAATATTAATAATGAATTAGTATCATTTATAGTTTGAACTTTGTTTAGAATTGCTGATGAAAGGAGACAATACGGCTACACATACACTTGGGATCAACTTCAAAATAAGTGGAAGAGCTTATTGAGGACTTACAAAGCCATTAAGGGCCGGTTTATCAATCTAATGCTAAAGTGGCAGTTAGTTAACAGACAGATAAGATATAAGTTGCTGGTAAAGTATCAGTTAGCATAATTGGGTTTATCATTTTGTATTTAAGGTGTTGTTAGCTAACAGACAGAATTTGTTTTAACAACTACGATTGGTAACACTGCTTTGTAAATAATAGATCAAATAACCCGTAGTAGTTCAGAGAACTGGTCTGTGGTTAACGTCGTATTTGTTTTTAATTTTAAATTTTGTGTGTATCGGTGTAGAGTATTATTTCATTTTGTGTTGTTTGATTTACATTAAAATGAGCGAGAAGAAGAAAAAGGAACGATCTGCTAACTTTTCACCAACAGAGATTGATCTGTTGGTGAAACTAGTTTCACAACATGCCAAAGTGATTGAGTGCAAGAAAACAGACGCTGCGACGTGGAAAGATAAAGAAAATGAGTGGGAACAACTTGCACTTGAATACAATTCTGCGAATAGCACTTGTCCGCGAAATGTCAAGTCTTTAAAAACCAAATATGAATGTTTAAAAAAGGACATTAAAAAGAAGGTTGCGTTACAGAAACAGTCGTTATATCAAACTGGTGGTGGGGCCTCCAAAGATATCATTTTTACCCCAACAGAGGAAATTTTAATTAGCATAATTACATTTTCGATTCAAGGACTTTCTTCAAGAAGCGATTGTGATCAAGGTATAGTTAACTTAAAATTTCCGCAAAGGTATAATTTTAATTTTGTAGTTATAAATAATGAAAATATTAAACACTCAGTAGTGGTATCTGAACCGCCAGATGTGGAGTTGGATATCGTTGAAGACATTCCGATCATGGATATAGATGTTATATTAGAATCGGTAGGCTTAAATTATTTTTACATACTCATTTCCAATAACATAAAATTACAGGATACCACACTACTTCCCCCAATGCCATCGGTCGCTAGTACTTCACAGAATTTTGTTGCAGTAGAGCTTCCATCTACGTCAACTACCGAACCAACTGTAGAAACAAATTGGGCGAAGTGGAATCCATCAAGCCTTCGGAAACCAGTTTCCAAAAGCTTAAAAGGTTAGGGTTTCTATTTGAATTAAGTTACATTAAAGTAACATAATTATATTTTAGTTACTCCTAAGAAGAATAAGATGTGGGCCACAAGAAAAGAAGCAATGGAAAATATCACAAATCTTTCTGCAAGTAAAGGAGATTTGATCAAATTGCAGTGTGAGTCCATCATACTAGAAAATGACCAAAAGAAAATTCTTCAAGAAATAAATCTGAAGAAAGCAAAGCTGGAATTACAATCAATGAGATTAGATGTGAAAAATAAATTGATTGAAAAAAAAATTAAACTCGAACAATTAATGTACTTTCGAAATAGAAATAAAAAGTTATAAATTACATTCTATTAAAATAATGAATTAATTCATTTCTAGTACTCTCATTTTCAATGTCATTGTTGTTTTCTGCTGGAATCACATTTTCAATTAATTGTGCTACTTCTTCATCGACCAATACTTCAGGTTCATTATTTACGATTGCTATATTGTGTAGTATTGCGGTTGCCATTATAATGTCTTGTACGGTGGGTAACTGCAAGCGTAACCCTAATGCAAGTACTGGAAATCTACGCTTCCACACACCAAACGCCCTTTCAATGACATTCCTTGTTCGTATTTGTGCTTCATTGAACCTATTTTCACCTGGTGTAGTAGGATTTAACAATGGTGTTATCAAATACTTAATAAGTGGGTATCCACTGTCACCTAATATCAAATGATTACCCATCCCATCTTCAAACACTGCTTTCAGCATGGAATTATTAAATATTGTGCTGTCATGTGTTGCACCCGGCCACCGTGCGACAATATTTCTAAATTTGAGATTGTGGTCACAAGCGGCTTGTATATTCATGGAAAAGTACCCTTTCCGATTCCTGAATTGTTCAGCTTGTGCACCACCAGGCGATTGTATTTTTACATGTGTACAATCTAATGCCAACAGGACCCGAGGAAATGCTGCAATTCGATAAAAACCTTGTTGAATTATCATACATTCTTCTTCTGTTGGTAACGAAACGTACATAGGTCGTAACGTGCAAAGAGCGGATGAGACACGTTTAATGATATGGCATACTGATGATTTATGTACTCCAGCAAAGTCTCCAACAGTTATGAGCATATTACCACTCGCATAAAAGCGTAAACATATTAAAAGCTGCTGTAACGGAGTAATTACATGATTTCTTAAAAAGAACAGGAAAAATAATGTAACATAAACCTATAAAATATGATTTACCTATTAGTGGGGAAACGGATTATGTTTTCAATATTTACAAGCAATTCTTGTACAGTCTCTTTGCTTAAGCGAAACCTATTAATAAAATCAACATCGTCCCAAAACTGCAAATGATCTGGACGTTGTCGAACTACATAAGGTCTTCTGTACAATATATTTACATAATTTACTAATTCTTCATCACTATCACTTTCTGAAAATATATTGACATCATTTACAGCCATTTTTGTTTGACGTTTACGCCACTTTACGCGAGAAGCAAATTTATTCATATAAAGTCGTCACTTTTCCGGCTACATGTTACTGTAAACAGTAACTTAAAACTTGCAAAAAGTACCAGTTACTAATCTAATGGTTAAAATAAATTTATCTGCTTGGTAAACTTTACCAGACGGTTGATAAACGCAATTTGTAGTTTAACTAGTAGTTAATACTAACAAACACCTTAACAGTAGATTGATAAACCGGCCCTAAGGACAATAAGAATACAACCGGTAGAAATAGAAAGAATTGGGAGTTTTTTGAGGTTTTAAACGAATTAATGTTTAAAAACCATGCAATTGAACCACCGGTTTTGGTTCATAATGGGTTCTTTCCACTGTGAATGAAAATATGTGATAACAATGATGTACATCAAAATCGCTCTGACCCGCAATCACCATGTAATAGCGATTCATCACCTTCACGCACACAAACGCCTTCCAGAAAGCGTAGGAGTACCAGTGCGACGAACTTCCCCCTTAGCTCGTGCACGAACGGTAGCTTAAATGATGAAAGTACAATTATTTCAAGTTCATTTAATGGATGACTAATAATGTAATTGTACAATTCAATTATCATACAGTAGACGGTCGGTCGGTCTCTCGGGCGCCACCAAGACTTAATCTGCACCCCTAAGTCTTGGGAAAGGGGCGGTCTTGTCGGACGGGGTGGAAAGCCTCCGGGTATCCTCTAGTGGAGAACGGAATCTACCAGGGATCGGTAAGAGTTCACCACAAAATGGCGGCGGTCACTTCCGGCTTATCTAAAACAAAATATGGCCGACGGGCCCGGACGGTAAATTTCCTAAAGGGAATAAAGCAATAAAGCACAAATCAATTAGCGGTGTCTAGGGGAAAGAAAAGCGGAAAAGCAAGGAGAACAGAATATACTTCCCCCCCTTAATCAACGTAAATGAAAATTAAGCGCTTACCTTTGTAATCAACGGTGGTAATAAATTCAGCCAAACGGTGATAACACTATCGATAGAAAATACGGTAGTTTAAGCTGAAGGCGGTAATGAAGCTTAGCGGAACGGTAGCAAAAGTTACGGTAGTGCAAAAAGGGAAACTCAAAACGGCCGTGAAAAGGAAAGGACAACGATTTGACTTACGGTCGCTCAAAAGGGAAAACGGTAAAACAAAATAGTAGAGTGCTCGTTGCAAAGAAAGTCGTCTAGAAATGACTTCCGTGGGGGTTTTGGTGTCACAAGCTGAAATTCACAAAAAATCAAAGGTTATCATATACTGATTCTAAATGTCAAGGCCGTCCAAAATCGGTCCATGCATTAGGGCACAAAACGCGAAAAACGAGTTAAGCACATGTACGGAAAGAAGAAAAAATAACGAATTTTTTCGTATATAAATCAAAATGTTCTTTGTACAGTGAAAGTAATAAGAAATTATCAAACGGTAACAATTACATTGGGTCTTACGGAAGAATTAAACTTCAAACGCGATTATCTCAGTTCGATATCCCTAAAAATTCGACAAATTGTGAGCAACTTTTGCGTTTACATCGTATTATTTAATAAACGGAAGCCTAAATCAAAAAGTTTTACTCTTAAAAAAAGTTTCGCTCATCGTTTATCTTTACATTGCACTGAGAATTATAATTTTATCTGCAGTAGTAACCAAAATATGTAATTAAAAGTAAAACAACGAACTTTTTACTCACTCACAAGCGACGCGGATTCACGCCGGTGAATACAATCCATCTCTACATTTCCCGTAGCTCCATTTCGCTCTTACATCATCGTAGGTACGCTTATTTGTATCAGCGGTACGCTGTCGGCGCGGGTGTCAAAGTATATAATCGTATATTAATATATTAAAATTAATTAAATAATACAGAAAATTACATAAATGTGAAACTCTAAAACAGATCAAAGTAGGTGGCAGGTGAAAAAAAATTGTAAATACAGAACATCGCTTTAATTTATAAAACGTTATACAACTCCTATAAATATAACTTTTTAATTGTATCATACCAGTAACTAAATGATATGTAACAACAAAGACAACCAAACGCTAAACTAAAACGTAAACTAAAGGAATTTAATTACTTAGGTAGGTGCATTAAAAGAAAAAGGCGCATGGAAAAAATCTGACTCAATTTTTTAATAACCTACTCGTCATCTGAGCATTCAGAATCGCCTTGCTCTGGAAGAAGTATTGATTGGGATGCGGTTAGTGGATTTTTGCATGTTTTTTGGGCCATGCATTTGCAAGAGCCTATGCAACACAATTTGTTCTTCTTACAAGAACACACCTTACTGGCACAATCTATACGAATATACATAAATATATTGTTCAAGCTGAGTGAGTAAAGTAATAGGACTTACCCTTTTTACATCCACAAGAAGTTAGAACAGCCAAATTGGTGGGGAATGGCGGCAATGTGGTAAAAACAGGCAAAAGTTCGCGTTTTGCACTAACATACCATCCGAATTCTGTTGTGGAGGGTAATTTTGGGAGTGGTACTGATGCCTGCAGCCATACTTTAGTTTGAAAACACACCCTTAAACAGTGTTGCCTCAGTGCATCTTCTGTTGGTGGCAACTTATTGATGGGCGTAGCAGCAGCCATAACTCCACGCAGTGTATTAATGGACGTGATATTTGGATTCTTGGAATAGATTTTTAATACGAAATTGTACATGCGGATGAACAATTCTTCTGAGATGTCATCCATGCCCACCCCATTTAAGTAGTGACTGTATGCCAGATATACTTTCCAACAGGTCTTCTTTCCGAATCCTCCAAATTGACTTGTAGTGTCACAACCCGTTAAAGCATGGAATGCTGGTAAATTATTGGAAAGATTTTCAGACATATTGATATCATGAATTGGAATGTACCTTAAGTTTTCCCCTTTGCCAACTTTCATCCAGAGTTCAGGAATAAGCTGCTTTTTGAAGTGCACTAACAGAACTAGCACGTCTGTATCGCTACACTCCACAATACACCGGGTGTACCCAGCCATTTTAGCAGACAACACATGCAAAATAATTCTAGTATCCGCTTCTTCATGATCAGAAGTAAGAAATTTACAAGAATCTCCTAATTCAACATTAGTTTTAAAATCGGTAACATTTTCGAACCCTCCACTTGTAGCAAATTGGATCTGTCTAGTTTTAGAAAGGGTAATTAGTTGTTCTGATAGAAAATTTGTCAATTGCCTTTTATTAAATACAGAGTTAATGAATAAGTGCCATTGTTGAGGTAACGTAGTGTTGGGATTATCGATTATTCTGCGAATACCAACTGTTTGACCTCTTTTCATCCGAGTAACATTTTTTATAGAATTTTCCCTGTAGTTATCAAAAACCACATCGACTCTTTTTGCATTGAATCTGTTAGTAAACACAATTTTGGAAAAAATTTCCGCATATTCTCCGAACGTTTTGCAATTCAATGGTTTGCCCAGGATTTGTACAATTGACATACCATCATATATGTGGCATGTCTTCGTGTTTTCTTTTTCTGGAGGTAGCATTGTACAAGACTGGGTATATTTTTCGAGTATGTTCCCCAATGCACTTTTGTGTGATGGAGTGCCTAGTTGTCCATTCGCCGTTAGAGACATAGGAAAATGTGTCAATTCATGTCGAAATATATCTTCGTAATTTATATTCCTTCCCATTTCTTTTGCAGCCAATATTTTCTGTAAAAACTGTTGCCCCAACAATTTATCTGAATTTGTCGAAGGTTGCTCTTTTCTTTTCACATATGCAGCTGTGCGTATTTTTTTAAGTGGTTTGTAAAAATCTGTGCTATCCATACTTTGAATGAAACTTTCAAGAGCTGCTTCACCTCTTAGTTTAGCACCAAGTGTTGCTGTTTGTAATTCCTCCGAATATATCTCATTTGTAGCAATAGATATCAC